CTGCCCCGGCACCGGCAGCTTCAGCTTCAGGGGTCAAGATAGACGGGTACGGGCTGAGTCCCAGAAACGGAACCGCAAGGGCAAAGCGCTGGGCTTGGGAAAAGGTTTTCTCTGCTGCTGCTCCTCCTGCTGCTCCTGATCCCCTCGGGGATGGAGGAAACGAGGGACTTTGCTCTCTAGGGACCCGTCAATCAGAATCTGCCACCGCCATTTAATTTGCTGAATTTATGCCTGCCGGGAGCCGGGGCCCGGCTGCCGGTTGCTGAGCAGGCAGTGCCATCCCGTGGGACCAGCTCAGCACAGCAGCGGAGTCCCGAAGCCGCACCGCGCGGGAGCCGCAGCATCTCCCACGGGACACGCACGAGTGGGACCCTTGCCTGGTGTCCCACGGGTGCAGAGGGGTGGCCGGGGACCACTTCCAGTCTGTCAGGGCTCCTCACTACCTGCTTCCCCTCACTCCCACTCTCCTTCCACCAGGAAAGCTCGAGGGGACACCACGACGTAACTCACCTGGACGTGGGGGTTCGGCTCTGTCCCACTCGGGACAGGGTCCGGCCAGCCCCGGGGCAGGTATGATTTTAGGAGGGGAGGGCAGACGACAAAGCTCTCACCCTGAACTCGGTGCGTCGATGAGGTTCGAGGCAGCGTGTCCCAGCAACCTGCCTGCCATCAGCAAGCCTCCCCACCTCTCCTCCCCTAAATTTTGCAGCTCCTCTGGTCTCCAGCTGGTGCCAGGCCAGGGATCGTCCAGCAGTGTTTAGCGGGGGGATACTTCACACGTGCAGGGGAAAGAGAAATCCCACGGAGCAGTTCCCAGGTCTCCGAGCCCACGGCTGCCCCACATCTCCTGCCCCTGCTGCTCAACCCCAAGGGCTTGGTGCTGTTCGTGGGCCCTTTTGGGGAGTGAGTGGTGCGGGGAAGGTCCGTCCCTTCCCGGCTCCAGCCTCTTCCCATTCCCTCCTGCAGAGACAACAGCAAAGCCTGGACCTGACCTTGGGAGCCAGCTGCGACCTTGGGAAGTTCCTCATCCAGAGGGACAGGCTGCGGACAGGGAAGAGGAGAGAAAGAAAGACCTTGGGCTGCTGCGGTGGGAGCTTTCTGGAGCAAGGCTGAGAGCGTGCATCCCTCCCGGCTGCCTCGGGGTGCCTGACACCCGATGGGGCACATACGCAGCACGGCTTTGCCAGAAGGGACAAAAGCACCCGGCTGACTCCTCCAAAGACAGAAGAGAGCAGATGGCGTTGAAATCTGCTCAAGAGGAGAAGAAGGAATAGCCCCGAGGCTCTGCACTCCCTCTGCCCCGAGAGGCACATTTGTCCCCAGCCAAGCGTGTCGGCCAGCCCTCTCTCTCTGACTTACCAAGGAGCAGGGAAGGGAATGGCAACCGCGGGCTTGCTGGGCTGCTGCGTGTCCCTTGCTGCTGTTCTCTTTTGTGGGGGTTTTCCTGAGAGTCCCTCAGAGGGTAACAGCATGTTATACCTAGGTAGCATCTGCATTTGACTCCTTACTGCCTTGGTAACTAGGTCTTGCACAAATGGTGTTTGAGTCTGCTCCCTAGCAGAAATCGCTTGGACTCTCTTTCTGCCTCCTGATATCCTGCTCAGACCTCTTTGCCTCGCTGGCATAAACAGTAAGCTTGCCAGAGGAGGGACCAGCCAGGCAGGAGCATTTGCAGAGCATGTTTAGCCCCAGAGGATTCTGATTTTTCACAGAGGTTACCGTAACACTGATGATGTTGAAGGAAATAACTGTGGGTGCTTCTGTGCTGGGCAAGGGCCCTTGTAAAGAAAGCCTGTGTTGCCTGAAGATTCTGCCCACACGCACCAGGATCCTTTTCAGGGCAGTGCCGAATATAACTCAGGCACTGGAGAACCACAGGGCACGGAGCGGGGCTCCCGCAGCTGAAAAGCAAACCGCTAACTCTGTGGTGAGAAGGCAGGGTGTGCCTCGCACCCTCCATCACCCACCGCCCCATCCTCTTCCCTGCCGTTGGTCCGGCTGGATCTGCGCAGCATTTCCCAGACGCAGCAGCCGTGACCCGCTTCCTTCTCTGTTGACGCGGTTCCCCACCACCGCAATAGCTTGTATCTCTCATGTATTTCTCCTCCGGTGAGGCAGGGAAACATTGTCCCTCTCTGCACAGCATGGACGTGGCAAGCTCCCACTGGGGAGGCTTACTGGGGTGGCCGGGAGGACAGCCGCAGAACGGCAGTTTGCAGCTCAGCCTGTGGACTCCCAAGCTCGTACCCCAGCCACCGCACCAGCCTTCCTCTCCTTCTGCAGGCTCGGAGCCAGCAGGGACGCTGCCGGCGACAGCTGCTCTAATTGAGCTTTGTAGAATAAACTTGTGGAATTAGCCTGTTGGCTGCTGGGATAAAATCCAGCACTGAGTGCAGATCAAAGGAGGCAATCTCGCTGACAGTGTGCAGGGAGACAGCCGGACCCAGGCTCCTTCTACAGCTCTAGAAAGGGCTGCTCAGCAGCCGAGGACAAGGACGAAGCATGATACAGACTGTCTCTTCAACAATACATGTGGTCCAGGTGCTGATGGTCAAAGCTACAGAAGCCTTGGGAGAGATCTGACACGGGTGATAAAAGCGGTCAAAGCCAGGCGAGAGACAGCACTAATTCAGAGAAGACAATTTTTGGGTGCGCCATAAATATGTGGCTTTCTGCTGGTAGCATGGAAGGAGTAGACAGCACAAGACCAGGCTTTGAGCCTCGGCTACAGAAGCTGCACAGTTTAAGAAAGAGAAGCCTGCCCTTGCCAGGTGTCCGTCTGTCCTTGACGGGGAGACAGTCCGGCCCAGCAGCCACGGGGAGAGCTCAGCGTGGCAGGAGGAGGAAGAGGGAGAAAGCCTCGCAGTGAAAGCAGTATCTGCTACTGAGAATAATAAACTCAGCACATTCCCTGCGTGGACCTTGCCGCACGGACACGCCTGGTCTGAACACAGGCAGCAAATCTGCCAGGTGCCACCTGCTCCCAGCCCCGCTAGATCGCACAGGCAGCAAACTAAAAATCAGATTCGCAGCACGTGCACCGTAAAGTTGCTTTGTGGCCATTTTTCCAGGGTTCCTGAAAATCCGATCAAGCATTTCCCCAAAAAAGCTGGCAAGCGACTGCCAAGGGAGGGGGGCAGGTTCACCGTTCAGCCTTCAGGGTATCCAGGAGAGGGATGAAGGCGGTGGAAAGGAGCAGCGGAGCACCTGGCCTGTGAGAACAGCAGACTGGGAAGGCAGGTAAAAGTGCAGCGGGAAAGGTCGGACACGAAGAGGCAGGCCAGGGAAGGACGGAGGGCTTCCCAGCCTGTGAACACCAGCCCTTGGCAGGGGCCAGTTCATCTAGGGCCGAGGCTGGTTGAAACGAGGCCCCAGCAGCCAGTTTTGCTGTTTTAAAGACAACGACAGTGACTTCAGAAGAAGAGTTTGACCTGAAGAGGTGTGCAAGCGTCAGGCTTCTCCACAGGGGGAAGGCATTAAGGCTGAAGACTATTTGCCGTGGTTTCTGGGTTTGTCAAGAAGCGCGGGGCAGCGGAGACAAAGCATATGGCACAGGCATACGGTGTGTTTGCTGTTTAGTGAGGAAAAAGAACCCAGCTGGCTATTTTTGATGCATTTGTTATAAGAATGAGAAAAGGAACTACTGGGAAACAGTGTTTTAATGTGAACATTAGTCTTCCAGTCCTCAGCTGTCTCTTTGAGTGGAAGTAGAGCCACGCAAGCTGGAAAGCAACCCCTGTCTCCAGGCTTTCCAAGGCACCTTCAGTCCAGGCAGAGGTGATCTATTTTCTGGGAAAGGACCCCAATGCGTTGGGCCCTTGGGACTTGCTTTCCTTCATTTAAACCTGGCACACCTCCGGTAACACTGCCTGAGCTGGACGTTGTCCTCGCGCAGCAGGAGGAGGCTGCTGCTCAGCGCAGAGCAACAGCTCTCCAACAAGCCCCAGACCGCGGCGGAGGCTGGCGGCGACGAAGGGTTTGTACCGGGACAGCCACGGGGCTGGAACGAGCCCCTCCTCTCCGGTGCTGGAACGAGCCCCTCTGCTAACACCAACGCAGAGCCCAGAAACGGAGAAGTGGGAGACAAGAATGGAAAACCAGATGGGAGCAATTTATCCTGGCTGTTCTCGTGAGCGCCTTCCAGGGAAGAGTGATTAGCCTTATTAACTGATTAAGCGATTAATTAACTGATGAACTGAAATTATGGATCAAGGATCAAATGATTGCAAGCAAGTGTATTTTGAATACTTTTCCAGGAAACGATGAATCTCACGCGCCTTTAACGAATGCTGGAGGGTGGGCGGTGAACTCTGCCGCAGCGGTGAGTGGGGTCAGCACGGCAGGACGAGAGGTGCCCGCAGCTCCGGGGCTCGCGAGGCGGGAGGTGCAGTGCCTGGAGCGAAGCGGAGAGCAAGGCAGACCCACTCCTTCCCCTCTTCCAGTGAATTCCACCTAAGCGTGGCAGCAGATCTCACCTGCTTCAAGACCGGATTTTTTTCTTAGAACCTTTCTTCCCCGTGTTAAGAAACTGGACGGTTACGTCCGTGCCCAGAGGAGCATTTATCCTGCATCTGGCACTTCGCTACACGCGCTCTCTCCTCCAACCCACGCCTACACCCAACTCTGTCCCCAGAAAAGGTAGTTTGATGGGTTAAGCCCAAACTGCACGTGGTCTGTCTTCTCTGGGAGACAGCAGCAGCAGCATCACGTTCTCTGGTACACACCTCATGATGGCTTAGGAGTGAAGAGGAAGCCGTGGAAAGGAAGAGGTTTTGGTTTATCAGCCTATTTGTCATTCCCTCTCTTCATTCATTCCTTAGTCCAATTTCCTCTTCAGAAATTCTTGCTCTTTCTGTCACCATCTCCCAAGCAGCCGGCCCCTCTGAGCCCGTTCAGCCCACCGCCCCGGCTGGGGAGGGCGAGGGATGGGTGCTGAGGGGGTTACCTGGAGCTGGGACGGCACCGAGCCACCGCCGGCGACCAGCGAGGCGGTTCCAGCACTAATGATGTTTGTCTCCAAAAAGGCTTTTTAGGTGAGACAGTTACAAATTGTATTTTATAAACTGTATTTCTATAAGTGGATTTTTTTGCTAGCGGGGAAAAGTGCTTTAATAATCCCACTTGTGATTAATGGCAGGGTGTCTTGGCAAAGCAGAGACTGCTGCGGCTTCGGTTCTTTCTCGAGGAGGAATTACAAGCAGTAAATAAAGAAGAAAATGCACACCTCTCTGCCTGGGAAATATTGATCCAGACTCTTCTTAGGTAAAAGATACCCAGTAAAATTCTCCAAAGAGTTGATTTTTAGCCTGTGAGCTGAAGATATCTGTAAACTGGACCCTGCTCTTTTTAGGGGTAGAGAAAATTTCAGTCACTCTGGCATGTGAACATCTGAGATTTAGTGATTTATGGCCCTCGCTCCCTGAGAAGAAATACACAGAGACACACGGACAGGGATCTGAGGTGCATGCTGTATTAAATCACTGGTTCACGGTCTCCTAGAGAGGCCATAGGGCCGAATCCTGACTTGCAGCCCCCGGGTCTCCCCTCCAGCAGGCCAAGGAAAGCCACCAGGGACGATGCAGAACCTTGAACACCATCGCGAACACAGCAAGCGCAACTGCCGTTCTCACTCTTCGCACATCTTTTGCCTCTCAAGCGTTTTGTAACGACCTCTCAAGCACAAAGTCGGTTGAACGACCACACGGCTGCAGCCTGAAAAGTACCGGCTTTCCCCCAAAGCCACTGCATAGCTTGGAATGTACTTTTTATTTCACAGAATCACAGAATGGTGGGGGTTGGAAGGGACCTCTGTGGGTCATCTAGTCCAACCCCCCTGCCGAAGCAG